TGTTTTGATTTTTTTTGCCTTTTTTTTTTTTAATCCACGACTGTTCAGAAAATCAACAGGAAGATGCACTTCTCCAAAACCAAGCACAGCAAGTTCAATGAGTCGGGTCAGCTGAGTGCCTTCTACCTCTTCTCCTGCCTGTGGGGAGCCAGCATTCTTGTTTCTGTAAGAGCTTCACTACTCTGCTTCATATAAATGAGTTTGTGTGCAGGTCCGTGTTTGTAGCGGTGTCTGAAAGATTCATTTGACTTGTTCTGCTTCATCTGAAGGAGAACCTCCTGTCCAACCCTGTCAGCCTGTGGGACGGTTACCCGCACACCCTTATGCTGTAAGTAGTACAGTGCAGATGTATTTAAATGCATAGCATGGTTACATTTTAAAGGGGCCATATGATGCGATTTCAAGTTTTCCTTTCTCTTTGGAGTGTTACAAGCTGATTGTGCATAGATAAGATCCCTGAAGTTGCAAAGACTAAAGTCTCAAAACCAAAGAGATATTCTTTATCAAAGTTAAGACTCTGCCACGCCCCCCTAAAACGGCTCGTTCTAACACGCCCCCACATGTCTACGTCACTATGTGGAAATATTAGCATAATGCGGCCCAAATGTGCACGCAAAGAAAGAAGGCGTGGTTTCAGTAACCGCAGTTAGTGTTGAAGCAGCCATGTCAGGAAGACGCTGTGTGTTTCTAGGCGAAAGCAAAAGCACTTTATTTGGCCTTCCGGAAGTAGATGATTTAGGAATCTTATTTGAAAAATAATGTGTTTTTTGAACATTAAAGCTTGTCAACATATTCTGTTACACCAAATACACAAAATAATGATCTTTAAAAAAAGCATCATATGACCCCTTTAAATAATGGAATATGCTGATTAATGAAGGGAAAGTGACGGGTGTTTTCAATGTGGACCGTGAAATGGTGGAGGTTCATATTCCATCTCGCATTACATCTGCCGATCTGCTGCATGAGCACTCATATAAGTTGCATCTTCTTTGGTAAACTGATCTGCTGGGCTGGTTCACATCAAGAAGACCGTTCAAAAGATTTCTCATGGCTCCTGATCAAATTTTCTTGCATTAGCCTACCTTTAATTCTCTCTTCTGATTTTTGTAGACCTACTGTATGTAACACACAGCTTGCAAATGCAATTATCATTGACATTCAACTTCCAAGAGTCGTGGAGATGCTAAAGAAGTTGCTTGTCTTGTTTTAGGTTCCAGATGAAGTTCTACTACATCTGTCAGCTTGGTTACTGGCTTCATGCTATCCCTGAGCTCTACTTCCAGAAGGCCAAGAAAGTAAGCAAGCAAAGTGTTTGAGGATGCGCAACATGCACTGAAAACCATATTCATGCATCCTGTTATTGTGACCGGACTGATTTCCCTTTCCAGTGTTTACCAAATGAAATAACAATAGACAATCACTGTGGACATTTCTGGATGTGTATACACAATGACAGTTTAAGAATATGGAACTGTTTTAGGGGATAGTGTTTATTTTGGATGTTTAAGTAAATGTTTTATTTAATTTTTCAGGAGGACATTCCTCGTCAGCTTGTTTATATCAGCCTTTACCTGGTCCACATCACTGGAGCCTACGTTCTGAAGTAAGCGATTGATATGTCATGTTTATTAATCGTCATAAACAGTTGTCAGGGCACACATTTTGTGCTAAAACATAAATTACACGTTCACTTGAACATGAAATCTAATTGATCCAGAATCCTGCTCTAAATACTCTACCTTTCAAAAATGTACAGGCAAGTTTTATATTCAAAAAATGAGCACATTAAATTGATCAAAAGTGATGGTAAAGACATGTATTATGTTACAAAAGATTTCTATTTCATTTTTTTCACATAAATTTGACTTCCTATTCCTCAAAAAAAAAAAATCCTGAAAAGAAGTCTCAACATTGAGAAGAATAACCAAAAAAGAATATTAGAATGATTTCTGAAGGATCATGTGACACTGAAGACTGGCGTAATGACAGTAATAAATGCCATCACAGTAATAAATTACATTTTAAAATATATTAAAACAGAAAACAATTATTTTAAATTGTAATGATATTTCACAATATTACTGTTTTTACTGTATTTTCGATCAAATATATGCAGCCTTGGTGAGTTTTTTTTTTTTTTTTTTTTTTTTTTTTTTTTTTTTTTTTTTTTTTTTTTTTTTTTTTTTTTTTTTTTTTTTTTTTTTTTTTTTTTTTTTTTTTTTTTTTTTTTTTTTTTTTTTTTTTTTTTTTTTTTTTTTCAAAAACATAAAATCTTACTGACCCAAAACTTATATTTTGATATTGAGATATTTTTGATTGGCTGTTGTTGCACCTGATTAGGACATGGTGTAAAGTTGACATGACTGTCATTTGCAGATTAAATAATTCCAAAAGTATGCATAATGGCAAGAAACGACACTTTTTAAAGATTAATACAGTAGTTTCATTCATGTTTAAACTATTAATGATGTGTTTTCCAGTCTGAACCGGTTGGGCCTGGTGTTGCTGGTTCTGCATTACTTTGTTGAGTTCCTCTTCCATGTCTCCCGACTCATTTACTTCAGCAATGAAAACAGGCAGACCGGGTGAGTGCTATTGATTACGCAGACTAAGTCCAGTTAAAGGGGACATCGGATGCAAAATTCACTTTTACATGGTGTT